CGAGTTGCAACCAGAGTCACGGAACGGATTAAGTTCGTATCCCGAGGTACCACTGTACAGGGTTGCGAAGATCAATATGGTTTAAAGAAGTGAACCTACATTTGAATTGTGCAGTACATCAAAAACATGGGACATCACTATATGGGAAAAATGGACAAGTTGAGCATGGGGAAGGCAGCAAGAAAATTATTCAATGTTGAAATGACAGTGCGGCCCATGATTTGCTGTCTCAGATTGCTGATACATGCATCCATTTATGAACTGGCTTACCAGTACAGTGGGAAGATTGATCAGTGTTATCCCCTGTAGTCAGAGTTTGATGATGTGTTTAATAATTGGGCTGAATGATTTCCTATGTAATGTTTTTATTGTTTTCTTTTGCTGTTTTGGCAGAAGGGAGGGCAGAGTATAAACCAGGTAGATATATAAATCAGTAAAGTCATGTTAGAGTGATCCTGATTTCCAAAAGCACTGCACAATAAGGCAATGTTTTTGGAAACCTGAATTGCTCTAGTATGAAGTTATTTATTCATATATTTATTTGATTTATAACCTGCCTTCAGCATAGGTGATCTCCTGACAGCTAACAAAATTTAAAACAAAGCAGAATATAAAAAGTTTAAAATACAGATTAACGCTAAAATAAATAAGTAATAAATTTTTAAATTTTAGATGTATTATGTATTTTATGTATATTTATGTATATTTATGGTTTTAATGTTTTTGTAAGTTGCCCAGAGTCCCCCATTGGGGGGAGATGGGCGGGGAGAAATCTGATAAAATAAATAAATAAATAAAATAAATAAGTTTGAAAAAATTGTGATGGCAGCATCAGTAATGAAGCAGATCACATGCTTGGCCAAGTGTGTGAGAGTAGCTCTCCATAGTTTCTCCTCATAGCTTTCTGGTTTTCATTCTCTTCATATCTGCATATGGACAGTAAAGCTCTTGCCTGCCTCCTTAGCAAATGTGAGAGCGCAGAATCAGAAGCCAGCATGCTCTCTGCTGGAAGCGGAGGCATAGGCTATGCCCTCGCTGTGCATCATACAAGAATGGACTTTAATCCCCTTCTGCTCTCTGCTGTACGGTACTGGCTTATGTCCCTTCAAGGAGAATAATATTGGCAGCTTTGATTACTCTTTCTGATTCTGATTGTGATCATCTAGGCTTCTGTCTCTGCCTGCTTACCTGCCATTTGTGGAAATGTTTTTTCCTGTTGCTGGGTTAGGCACATATTGCCAACCAAAATGTGAATTGAGAGGATGATGATTCTGTGAGCCAACTGTCTGGCCCTTGCAGCTAACAGTAAGCTCAGTAAGGTTGCCTTCAGATTTGACAGGCTGATCACAGGCTCTAGAAGCCTGTAATATTGGTCAGGATGTCAACCACCCAGTTAACTCAGTGATTATCTCCTTGTTTTTGTTTTTTTTAAAGCACCAGCAAAGCTTATTCTGTGTTACTGTACACACACTTCCAGATGAAGCCTTCACTGTGAAAGCACTCCTGCTCAATCAGTTTTCTTGGAGGTACAGCAGACACTGGCATCTCCTATCTGTAAACCTCCCATGTTTGGGCTGTTAAGGACAGATAGCTGCAGGATGACTTTTACTGTAATGCTGTGAGCCTTCCTGGGAGTGGCGGGCAGGGCTTCCCGACTAAGCAAGTTTTTTTTCAGTCTTGCTCTTTCTTCTCTTGCTTTCCCACCAATGAGCAGTGCTGTCCCTCTGTTTTTGTGCTTCTGCAGCAGCAAGCCAGCAGCTTGTGGAAAGGAAAGGATCCCTGTTCTCCTGAACAGGGCCATGTAAACATGAAAGTTGTGACTCGGGAGGCAAGAGAGATTGCATGCCATTCTGGGCTGCTGCAAGGGGCTTGAGTAGGCAGGAAGAGCTGATGATAAAACATTCCACTGGATGAGCAGCAAAGGAGAGAGTTCCTGTCCTTTTTGCTCCCAACTTTTGCACCAGGAAAGTGGCACAGATTTGGGTTTCGTGTGGAATTGAAATCTCCATGGTGACAGATACACAGACATGAAAACAGGTGGCTTCAAACACTGGAGCAAATGTCTTAGCAAGGATCCGCTGGTATGGAATGGGACGTATCCTGGGGAAAGCAGTGGAGAAAGCAGCAACAGTGACTGAGCAGTATGGAGAACAGCAAGCAGCATTGTTAATGGGCTTCCTCATGGGCTTCCTCCATCTGTTCCCTCAGCTGCTGGTAGAGTTGTTTCTGCACCGGGCAAGGATGTGGGTTAAGGAGCTTAGATTTGTAAGAATTTGGATGGATGTGTCTTTGAAAGTTTTTTTTTATACTTATGTATATGTTGGATTTATATCTCACCTTTCCTTCAGGAGCTCAAAGCAATGCAGGTAGTGTTCCCTCTTCCCATTTTTTCCCCATGAAAACAACCTTGTGAGGTAGGTTGGGCTGAGAGAGGTGGTACCAGTAGAATAAAAGGAAACTTCCATTTAGAGTGGTTGGCAACCCATACTCTGCCAACTGGTCTTCTATGAAGTGATGCTCAGGGAGAGTCTGAGAGTTCAATGGCACACAAAACTGGTAACCAGGAGGCTTAATAGTCCATACTTTGAAGGGGGCTGAGACTGAAGGCTTGTTTGTTAGCAACAGAGATAGGACTAGCATGTGGCTTTGTTAGGCAAGAGTTAGAACTCTTCAAGTAATCCATAATCAAATCCTCTGACATCCCAGATACTAAACTGTGGGTGCTACATAGAATTTTTGCAGTTGAAAGTAGCTCCACAAGATGGAACTCTTGGTTAGGTCAATCTTATTTTCTGGATGTTTTGGATTAAAAATTATCTGCTTGAGTAGAGAAAAGCTTTATTTGATTGCCTGTGTTACTTTCAATTGTAAAAATAACATCTTCAGAAATTTCTAAGATATTTATAGAGTCTATTTGCTATTCACACTAGAAGAGCAAGGTTATTTGATACAAGAACCTCCAAGCACCCAGGTCTGGTTCATGCCTAAGGATTCACACATAACGTGGTTTTCTTGCTCTTGGTTTAAATTAGTATGTGAACTGGGCCACTATGACTAGTTCAGAATGGTTGGTGTTATGCATGAATGCAAGCAATATGCACAATCTTCCTCGAAGTAGTACGTTCATGGGAAGCCAGTTTAGAGAAGGTCACTGGCATCTCTGTCACAGATATTAGGGTTTTTTGGAATGTTCTTTAGAATTAGAGATAAATTATTGAGTTCAATAGACGAATAAGTTTACTTGCTCTCTGGTGGTTTTATGCTCTCAGTGCCTTGGGTATAATGCTTTCCTAGAGAATGAATCAGCCACAGACATTTTTTACTGCAAGGAGCATAATTCTTCTTTATTCCACCTGCCCATTCTGAGATTGGGTTTGATAATAACTAGTTTCATTTACACTTTTAGGTTGCAATAAAGATAATTGATAAGACTCAGCTGGATGAAGAGAACCTCAAGAAGATTTTTCGAGAAGTTCAGATTATGAAGATGCTCTGCCACCCTCATATCATCAGATTGTATCAGGTATGAAAGTTGAGTAACTGAGATGGGGGCAGGTTTCTTGGTAAAAACTCTGGGTTGGGGCAGGTGATGCCTCAGACTTCAGTCATTTAATCTAAAGTGAACCTCTGCATTTCACCAGTGGGGTGGCATTTGGAATCTGCACTGTTAAGGCCTCCTGTGCATTTATGCCCAGCACAATCAATAGGCCTCTTGGTGGTTCACAACAAATTAATATAATGGTTATAGAGTAAAGCATTTACGGTGAATACATAACAGTAGGGCATAAAGCTAAAATAAAAGATAACCGTAAAACATCAGTGAGGAGGAGCTTTTCATCAGTTGACTATTGGAGAAGATGTTATAGAATCTGTAGTCCTCTCCTCCACCAAGGCCTACTCATAGTCACAGGGCGTCTTTCAAGGGAAGCATGTTGGCATCTTGAGGCTCCATATATATCGTTGTTAAGACTGACAGACCAAGGATAACCTCTGGTGTCTTATTTGGACAAAGGACTCCTGTTTCCTGTAATCTTAAGAGCTGTTGGGTATGTCCCCCGCCCCCTTGAAGGAAGCATGAAAGAAAATCCTCTGGAGGTAAAAATGGGCTCTTTGTTTTGCGCATCCAGCTGTGTTCAGCCGAAGCTCCTCCCAGTTTTGATTCCAGACCCCTGTCTTGTTCCTCAGCAGCTCCTTCAGCCTCCTCAGAAGCAAAAAAGATGTCCCCCTCTCCAACAGAAATGTACCTGTGAATTCCCCCCTTACCCTGTCACCTGAGTGTTTAGATTTTATAAAGAAAATACTGGAGAGCCGTAGATGCCTGGCTAAAGTTTTGGACTTCTTTCTGAGCTGCAGGTGTTCAGGTGGCAGGCTCCCCTCACCAGAGGCTTATGCCAGAGATACTTCTAGAGGTTCATCAGGGATTCCCAGGCATTCCTTTTTCCTTCTGTTTGTCAAAAATGAAGCCCACTGGGCCACAGTAGTAATGTTGATCGGTGTGAGGCCTCTGTATGGTCTTCCAAGTTCATCAGCCCACAGCGCTCCTGCCAGGAATTCTCCTTAAAGGCCACTGATAGTTCACCTGACTTATTTTTGAAAAGCTTGTGGGAAAGGGCTTTCCCTGGGCCCTCCTTGGCAGTCAGAAGGCCTGTAGTGGGACAGCTGCTGCTAAGCCCTGCTTCTCTTCGATCACGTTGCGAGAGCCTGAGAAGTTTACTGAGAGGGCTTCCAGAAGTCTGCCTGTCCCATCAGGGCCCGTAGCTTGTTTTATTTCTTCTGTTTTTAATCTGACCTGTAATAAACATGCTCTGAATTTGCAGCAGAATTCACATTATTTATGTCCCTGGCTAATGGGGCAGAGCGGGAGGGGGGCAGCTACTATATTTGAGGAACCCCAGGTAAAGACGTCTTCTTATTTTCGTATCTTGCTCGCAAGCCACCTGTTTTTCCCAGCTCATTACTCCCTGCAGCTCAGTATGCCCACCACAGGAGGGACGTTGCATCCCTGTTGGTCACCCCACCCTCCATGTCCCGCTCCAAGTACACGTGGACCATAGTTAGAAGGGATTTTGTGGCCAACCCTAGGAGTTTTCATGGTATGTCTCCATGTTTTGAATAAACCTGGGATGGACACAATTCTGCCCATCCAAATATGTTACAATGACATCAGGAGCCAAGATTGTTTGATGCGGTAGGTAGTGTTTAGTATGTTATTTTTGCCATATTCCCAGCACCCATTGGAATGGAGAGATTTGCCCAGATGGTTACTGCTGATGGTGAGGTGTTTGACTTGCTCGAAGGCCATTCTTTCTTCAGGGGACATGTACTTTTGCTGGTGATTCAGTGGAGCTCCAGAAAGCCAAGATGGAACTTAATTTCAGCTATGAAAATGTCTTAAAGCATCTGATACAGAAGCCCACTGAGGCTGATCTCCCTACCAGCAAAAGCATCAAGGAAGCATTCTGATTAGATGGTCAAATTCTAAGAACTATAGTGTGGATTAGAAATGATTGATTTAGATATATCCTCAAGACACATTAGTGATGATAATAATATATTTTTAGCAAGGCTTGAGTAGCCCCTTTTTCCCCCCCCCCCCCCCATGTGAGAAATTCTGAGAGTTAGGCAGTCCTCTTTTGACCTGGGAAACGCCCTGCCAGCCTTTCAAATTGGCACCTGGCCTCTCTCTTGCTTGACTCTCCTCAGCTGGCTTTAGGCATTCCAGTATGGCATTTGGTGCATCTAACATGTGAAAAATACTTCTGTGGATCAAAAAGGAGAAGCCAGTAAGCTGTACGTGTTTGCCCTCATCAGCTACTTTTTTGTCCTTGTGCAGGTTATGGAGACGGAGCGAATGATTTATCTGGTGACAGAGTATGCTAGTGGAGGGGAAATATTTGGTAAGTACATTGATTGCCTTATTTAATCAAATAATATACTCGGTCAACTCTGGTAAATAAAACAACTAACCCCTTTGTTTATTTTTTGGCTGATGCTGTTTGGTATTGGAAGTTTCCACTGCTGCCGTTATTGTGTGGAAGAAAGATTGGTGAGCTCTGATGCACTTGTGGCAAAAGGAAAGAGAGAAAAGATAATTCTGATGGGGTTTGCCATAATTAAAATGTGAAGACTTGGGAAAAGTGACAGCATGTTTACACGTCATCTCAAAACTGCTGTGCTTGCAAGCGATTTGGATAGTGCAAAGCTAGTTGGCTGTAACTCAAGGCTGATGATCTATGGCAGCTTCAGGGGAGAGACGGAAAGGGCCTCGGTTTAGCCAAGAGCCCCGAAGAGTGTTTCACGCTCGAAAAGAGCATCATCCTTGTGGCTAGGCCACAGCTTGCGAAGTCAGGAAAGGCCCCTGGCTAATTCCATTTTGGTTGCAACAAGGCTTACTTTTCCCTTCCTTCTCCCCTCCCCACTCCAGTGTATACATCTTTATTAAAGCACTGTCAGAAGTCAGAAAGCACTGTTGCTCTTCACGTTTCATGAGGGGCTGCCCAGAGTTGCTCAAAATAACCTGGCTGTTTCTCCCTGGACCAGCATTTACCGGCCATGCAGTGTCAGCATGTAAGAGACAGGCAGGCCACCAATCCCAGGGTGCCATTGAGGCTGGAGGCCCCTGTGAAGCAGAGAGCAGGGAACAGGTGGAGCTTTGGGAGGACCTCAAGGGAGTGGGCTCAGTCATAAGGGTAGAGGAGAAGGCCTACTTTTAAAAGAATCCCACTACCTGTGGAGCACCTGCTCTTAATATTTTGGAGGAGGGAGCAATGAGAAGAGTAAGGTGAGAAATTGCCTTAGACCATCTAGATCAGTTGTACCAAATTATCCATTTAGGTTTTTCTAGGCTAAAGGTTTAGATAGAAGGGCTGTTTCTATCAATTGGTCAACAGAGTTTAAAGGAGAACTGCATGTTAGACGCAAAATATGTTCAAGGAGTGCTCTGTGGCCTGCAGTTCGGTGTTTTGGATTTGACTTTCTGGTGAAAGGGCACAGAGACACACACTCTGCAGGTTGCACCTGGGAAGGGTGCGTGTTTGTGTGGGGAATATTTGTTGTGCACAAGCCAGATATCTTCTGTTCCTCTCCCTACCCTAGAAGTGGAATTGCTCTGAGAGCTCCTGGGGCTGTGCCTTCTTGCAGGCAAAGATTTGCACTCTCCAGCAAGTTGCATCTGCTGGCTGCCAGTAGCTTTGCCTTGCTCTTGGAAGCCCTGCAAGCTGTAGTTGTTTCTTCTTACTTGGAGCAGCTCATTTGCCCAAGCCATCCAACCCTCACAGTCCAACACGCCTCCTTGTTATCAGTTATATTCTGTGGTCTCCACATTCCCTATCCCCTCACCCCGAGTTCTTCTCAGCTGCTTTGTTTCAGCCCCAGATTCCTCATTTGTTAGAAGTCTACTCCTGCTCCGCATTTTCTAGAGAAAAGCCACTTGGTAGCTCCAGGGAACTGGAGGGAACTATTTGCTAGAGAGACTATTTCTCAGTCTGGCTTGAGGCCTTCAATCCCCAAAGTATTCTCTGGAGCAAGAAGCTGTGGGCCATCTTTTAGGGCCAGGCACCTGGCTTCTGTTCAGCATCTCCCCACTTTGTGTGATGACATGGCTGGTTCTCAGAACATCTCCCAAGGAGGCTTTCCTTGCTGTAGCTCTAAAACTGGCTTGCTTCTGTTGACATGGCAGCTCTGATGGTAAAAAGGTACCTAACCTCAGAGGAGTTTAAGTGGTGTTTCAAGTGCCTTTTGAATGTCAGTCAACTGGCCCAGACTTGTGGTAAGAGAAGGAAGCTGATTCCAGGAGTGTCTCCCAAGGAGGCTTTCCTTGCTGCAGTTCTGGCAGAGAGGGGGCAGGATTCTTGCTGGCTTCAGATTAAGCCAGCATAGTTGGCTCTGATTTCCACCAGTGCTGGCTATATAAATGCTGGTGAACAGCATGCAGCTCTTGGAGAAACAGGGCTGACTGAGTCACTGGAATAGCTGCCAGCTTGTGACTAGATGGGCAAGCAGGGTCTGCATCTTCCCTAGAATGACTAGAATTGACAGGGGAGAATTAGAGGGAATGATCATGCATCGCCTTCCATAAAAATATTGCCCTCCCAGTAAGGCAGTTTCAAATCATTTAGGAGTCACTATCTGGCAAGAGCTTTTTAAAATGACACAATAATTTATTTGTCATTAAGAAAAGAATGTATCTAAGAAAAACAAACAAAACACCCATTTGGATACAAGAAAGAGAACACGAAATGACTCTGCTGGCTGCATCCAACTGTGGTAATTCTTAGAAAGTTACCAGCCTCTTTGTGGGAAGGCTCTGTTCCCTCTAGCCGGGTTGCTAAGCAGATGTGTTTGTCATGGAACAGGCACGCTCCCAGGGGCATCTTTCCTGATCCTTAAAAAAAAGTCTCCCTCCTTAACTGAGGGAGCAAGCAAGGAATACTGGGCATCTCCTCCCTCTAGCTGGGGTCAGACTGCTGGAATTCGCTGGGGAGACCAGATTCCCGCTCTGATTCTGGTGTAGTTTATTATTGCAGTGCTAAAGAGAGGAAGCAGGGTTGAAGGGCAGAGATGGACAGGAACCACCTGGGCAGGGAGGACGGAGTGGAAGGGGGCCCGGGCTACCCTTGGGTGCCTCTCTTTGCCAGCTGGGAGGCTGCAGGAGAGGCGAAGACGACCTCCAGAAAGGAGCTGGGTGCAGGTGGGGATGGGAAAGAGGGCTGCTTTCCTGGGGAGCACCCAAGGCCATGCCCCCCCAAGCCTTTGGAGTCCAGAGCCTGACTTAGGTTTGGAGAGAGTGTCCTAATTTTGGAAATGGTTAAATGGGGAAGGAGCGCAAATATGTGCCTTTAGGAACCAACAGGGCATCTCCTCTTCTCCCAAACAACCACTTCTTCAGAACAGCTGACCGGACCGACCAAAAAGAAGTTTCATTTTGCTTCCCCACAGAAACCATGTTAATTACAGAGTGGAAGATGAATGTCTGCTTCACAGAATGAATATAAAGCTGAAGTTTTTTCTTCAGGTGGCTGTTTTGCCAGAATGCCCACAGATTGTTGATTTATGGAACAGTAAATACTTTGTCTCTGTGGAGAGAGCGCTATTCATTACCTGATGCTGCGTTTCTAATGCATTTTGATAGTGACTCTCCCTCCTCCAATTAAAGTCTGTTTCTTTGAAAAACTCTTCAGGGAAAGGCTGAGGTCAAAGGCTGCACTCTTGTGTACACACATTTAGAAGTAAGTCCAGTTAAATTTGGTTGCTGTAGAGGTGGTGTTCAAATGATAAGCCAAGCCAAGTCCTGGCTTACCCACACAAGCAGCAGCACTTTGCTTTGATGCTTCTTGCTGACTTCCTTTGTGAGCAGCTGCCACTAGCAAGCCAGGCTTGGTTTTGGTTAGAACCATACACAGGATGTGGCCTTTGGTGCAGCTTAGCTTCCACCATAGCTAGAATTCTCCATGGGGAACCCGAACAGATCCTCTGGGCCTATCCTGCTGGGTCTCCCAAAGTACTAAAAATCATGTGGCAAGCCAGGTTACACTACAGGAATGGTACCATCTGGACCAGTTCCCGCCCAGAACAAATAAGCCATTGATGCTACAGGTCATAGCTTGACATACGGTTGAACTGCAGTTTATTTAACAAACCATAGTTACCACATTGTAAATTCAGCCACAGTGTGATTGCTCTCTGGTGGAGGTTTCCTTTGCTTAACAAGGATGCTGCCTTGTTTGCAGTAGAACTTAAAGCTGGTTCCTAAAGACTTTCATTTCACAGGTCCAGAATAGTTTCCATTCATTGGCCTACAGATTTTCATTTAACATGTTCCTTTGGCTGTGAGCATTCTGTCTTGAATCTGCAAATCTCAGCTGTTTTTATTTTTGGCCTTATGCATTTGTATGGGGAAAGGAATGGGTGGTCAGAAGAAATAAGGGAAAGGGTTCACTGGAGTGATGTGCAGCTAGTTCATGGAATTCATCTCCATAAGACACGTGACAGCCACAAGCTTCGAGGGCTTTGTCATTTAAGAAGGTTCTGTCTGTCCAGACTGCTAGTTGTGGTGGACTGAACACATTCAGAGACAGTTTTTTTGTGGGGGGGGCATGCAGGTCTCACATGAGTCAGAGTCCCAGCAGCATCTGCCCAGCCACTGTGGGAAAGAAGATGCTGGATTTGAAAGGAGCCATGGATCCAGTCCATTTCCAGGTTGACTGCTCCAAAAATCTCCTAAGGGGTTAGAAAAATTCTGTCACTGGAATAACTTTCTCCACATCCACATGATCAGGAGTGTTGTCTGAAGTACCACACCAGCAGCTGCTAGTTCAGAGTGGGGGCTGCTTTCTTCCTGCTCCAGGATAAATATAAAAGCAATTATTTTTAAAATAAATACAGGTAGTCCTTGACTTATGTCCATTTGTTTAATGACCATTTGAAGTTATGATGGTGCTGAAAAAAGTGACTTACAACTGGTCCTCACACTTATGACCATTGCAGTGTCCCCACAGTCATGTGATCAAAATTCAGGTGCTTGGCAACCAACGTGTATTTACGACAGTTGCAACATCCCAGGATCATGTGATTGCCGTTTGTGACCTTCCCAGGGGGCTTCCAATAAGCAAAGCCAATGGGGGAAGCCAGATTCACTTAACGACTGTGGCAAAAAAGGTCGTAAAATCTGGCGTGACTCATTTAACAACTCCATTGCTTAGCATTGGAAGTTCCAGTTCCAATTGTGGTTGTAAGTCGTGGACTACCTGTACACCCAAATATCACTCTGCCACCAGCCTTCTTGTTCTTTGACCCTTGAGCTTTCCCTACAGTCGCATTTTTGGATCTCTGCATTCTAAAATGTAAGCTTTCTGGGCCTTTTGGCCTGCCCTCCCTGCCTGCCTCTCTCATACATGCACACACATACAACTCTGTTTTCTTTTAGCACATACTGTGCAAAAATGTATCTCACCCAGGTGTGAAATGTTACTGCACAGGTAGAAATGCAACAAGTGAAAACCAACCCTTCTTGGGCAGGTTTATTTTTAATAGAATGTAGTCTCAGTAGCTACAAAAGAGCCAAGGAGACTTCAGTTGATCTGCAAACCACAGTGAGACTCCACCCCAAATTGTTATGACCCAAAGGGGTCCTACCCTTTCTTGGGCCAGAGCCACGCTTGGCCTTTGCGCGTCACTGCACTGCTGAGAGGGCAGGCAGAGCCAGAGCAAAAACTAAAGTTTAAATAGAATTAAAATACACATTTACTGTGGTTACTCCCTTCGTCTGGGATCATGTTAAAAGTTACGTTTTGGCAGCAGCCTCTTGGGAGGTGGTCTGGAGGCTGTGTGGAAGGGTTTGGGGAGCTGAAGGCCACGGCCCCTCTTGCGCAGGGCGAGTTGCCAAGAGGAGAATCAAGCCGTCTTTGTGGCCTGCGCATCCTCCTCCTGCTGCCAGCCCCTGGGCCTAGCCAGCCACCCCCCCAGGCTCAAGAGGGCCGGGAGCAAGCCTGCAGTTCTCTTCCTGGGCTGTCTGTGTGCTGCTCTCCCTGGTCTGGGGAGACCCCTCCCAGCCCCTGTTCTTCCCACATCTCTAATGTGGAGGCGGCCCTTCCTCGCCCCTGAAGGCCTGCGCTTGTTTGCCCAGCCCTCCTCTCCCCAAAGGCAGTCTGGCGGAATGTGCTCCGTGATGCCGATACCATAGGTGTTTGCGATTGTGGCAGGAGCAAGCACCTGATGGGGCTGGGAGCTGCTTCTGTGGCACTGCTCCTGTCTGGGGCCGGGACTGCGGGGCATCCAGAAACTGACCAGGACATTGGTTGTTAGCCCTTCAGGCAGAGGCTGCCCTGCCATAGGTGTTCAACCCTTTCTGTGGCTGAAGGTCGCTTTGTTACCCACAGTCCTTGACGGGTGTCCAGACGAAGGGGTCCAGTTGCAGAAGTGGTGCTTTGCATGCCCCTGGCACGCTCCTTGGCATTCAGGCTCCCCCTCCTCCCCAGCAGCATCCTTTTGTTCCAGCCAGGCAGGCCAGGGGCACTGTTCCTTGGGGGCCCTTGGTGGGGGGGGGGTTGAGGCTTTGGCTAAACCACCAAGCCAACAGGGTCCTGGCACCTCACATCTAAAGGCAAGCTTTAGGCCAGCTCCCTCCCCAACTCTTTATTAAAGGACTGCTTTGGGATCAGCTGGATGGCTACATCCACCTCCCCTGTGTTCTTTGGTCAAAGGCACGAGGAGGAAACTCACCCGTCCAGGACTTTGCCGAGCTTGGTCGCCTTCCTCTTCTCTGCTTCGTGGCATGCTGTGCAGCACTCGGCTTTTCTGCTTCCTGCCCTCTCTGAGAGGCAGTGGTGGGCTTTGTAATTTGCTTCCTTGGTGGCGTAGGAGGAGCGTGGCACTGTGGGCCTTGGGTTATTTTGTCTTCCGCCACCTCCTCACACAGATGTGTCCATCAGTGCGAGATGGCTTCATGGGGGCGTCTCCTGTGAATCTCCCACAACCACCTTCACCCTGTGCAAGGCACTGCTTGCGTCATGATGACAATCTTTGCTGCCCCGTGGCACACTAAATGTAGCAGATTGGGCTCTATTTCTTCCCCTGCAGGGGACTGGCATCTAAAAATATAGCGGTGCCTTGTGAGAACATCGTTCTTGTGTAGAAGGGTTTCTCTTCTTGGTGATTCCCCCACAGTCTGGCCTTTCTTTTCCCATAAAGCCTTGGCAAGGCATAGTCTGCTTGCACTGAGGGGTTTCTGAAGCCGTCAGTTTAGATGGAGGACTGCTCAGGTGCCTGGACTGCCTGTGTGCAACCTTGGGGCTGGGCTGGCTCTGAAACTGAAAGCATTCAGCAAGTAGCATTTCTCCCCATAGGAAAGAGCCTTTTGCTGCAAATCTGTCTCGCTCTTTGCATTAGTTGAGTTGCAGGTGATTTGAGGAGAAATGTACTGTACTTCAAGGAGAGCGTCCTTACTGTTTACCTTGACAGTAGTTTTGGTTGACACCATCTCCTTCCACAGTTTACCTAATAAATGTTCCCGTAGGTCAGTTCCTTGCAAGTCCCACCGTTAACCCAGAATAAATATCTAGTCCTCCAGTAACCAGCTTCATTCCTCCCGGGTCTCCTTCAGATCATCTGGTGGCTCATGGACGAATGGCTGAAAAAGAAGCACGGAAGAAGTTTAAGCAGATAGTAGCAGCTGTACACTTCTGTCACTGTCGCAACATTGTCCACAGAGACCTGAAGGCTGAGAATTTGCTTCTGGATGCAAATCTGAACATCAAAATAGCAGGTGATCCATTTTAACTTGGACTTTCAGAAGGCTTTTAATAAAGCCCTCTAGCTTTCTGGCAAGACGAGTAGCCCTTTCATGGATCAGGCAGTAGAGGAAGTTCAGAAAGGGAGAGAGTGAATAAATGAACCATCCTTGCAATGGAGACAAGGAAATAGGATTTGCATGGAATGGCTGCATTTGCTGACAGCATACAATTATTTAGCATGATTGAAGCAGAAAGGCACAGTGAAGAGTTCTAAAAGGATCTCCAGACTAGATCAGTCGACATTAAAATGGCAGATGCAGTTCAGCGTAAACCAAGTGTAAAGTCACTTTGGGACATTTTATATGCTGATAGGGCCTGGATCCCCAGTTCCTGATCAGGACAGGGATCTTAAGGGTTGTGGTGGACAGCTCAGTGAAAACCAGTGGACACACAGACATGGCATTTCCTGCCAGACAATGGGCCTCTTTATCCTGCTGTACCTCCACTGGATGTCAACCTGCTGTTGTGTTGTTGTACAGGACACTAGGAAATAGATCCCTGGATGGGAAATCAGTGGTGCAACCAGGTCCTTATTGTCTTCCAGATTTTGGGTTCAGTAATATCTTCACTCCTGGTCAGCTGCTGAAGACCTGGTGTGGAAGTCCTCCTTATGCCGCCCCTGAGCTTTTTGAAGGGAAGGAGTATGATGGGCCGAAAGTGGACATTTGGGTATGTGGCAAAGATGTTTCCTGAGCTGCTGGCACTCCTCTTCTCTGTTAGGAGTGGCCATATTATCTGGTTCAAAGGCAACCTTGTGTTCAATAAGCAGCATTTCAGACCTTTGTATTTCATTGGCCTCTTGCTTTGGCCTCTTTAGGAATGGCCTTCTCTAGCTGCTGGGCTGAGAAACTGGCCTGTTTATTCCCCTGCAAGCCTGCCTGAACACCTCTTCTTTTGCAGAGCCTTGGTGTGGTGCTCTACGTCCTGGTCTGCGGGGCCCTGCCTTTCGATGGGAGCACGCTGCAGAACCTGCGGGCCAGGGTGCTGAGCGGAAAGTTCCGCATCCCGTTCTTCATGTCCACAGGCAAGGAGCCCTGGGAGAGGGGGTGGCTGGCTGGCGCCTGGGGCTTCAGCGGGCCTGAGCTGCTCAGGCCGCGTGGCAGTGGAGGCACACAAGCACCAGAGGAGCTGGGTTTGGCTTCTTTGCGCCCATCGGGTCAAGCGCCAGTGCCCTAAAAAGCACGCACATGGAGAATGGGTACCCCTTCATGCCCGTCTCCCGTGCTTGGGAGACGTAGCTGCCTCCTTTGCTTGCAGAAAGAGGAAGCTGCCTTCGCTTCCCCCAGGACAGTGATGTGCTACAAGAGTAAGCCGCCTTCTCGGGCTGGGCACATTTAGGCTGAGTGCAACATTTTTCAAATTCAGAATGATCCAAACAGCCCATTTCGGACCTTTCTGCACGCAGCTATTCTTTGTCACTTTTGCTTCGGTGGGAAAGCCGAGCAGAGGCTGCGGCCGGTTCACGTTTTCTGAGCTGTTGCTTGCAGTGAGGACCACCTGCCTGCCCCAAATTCTTCCACCGCTCCACTTCCATAGATGGGAAAGAGGGAGAAACTGGTGATTAGTTTTCCTTACCCTTTTTAGTTTTGCAGGAAGTGAGACACTAGGAGCGGACAGACCTGGGGAAATGTTCAAACCAGTTATTGTGAAGCAAGCTTGAAAGGCCCCCGTTAGACTTCCCGGCCTTCCTTCACCCTCAGTATGAGAAGCGAACCAAGGCTCCCCTGCCAATCCCTGCCTTTCCTCTTCCTGTGAGCAGGAAGCCATCATCTAACTGTTGACATTCAGTGGGAGGAATTTAGTTCTGCCTAGTGCAGAACTGTGTTAAAATAATTCCTGGTTTCCTGTGGGCTGATTAATTAGAACGTGTATGTCTTAATGCCTGGCAAAGTAATGCGAAGCAGTAGCTTCTGCAGTGGAAGGGAGGAACAACCGTGGTTTCCTTGGGCAGGCTTGGAGGCAGGCCCAGGGAGTGCTCCAGCAGGGCTTTGGGCTTACCTCCCAGGCTGGTTTCACATACAGATAACTGTTAGCAAGAAATATGTTAACAGCATACAAGCCCCTGAGCAAGCGTGTTTCTTCTGCTGTTTACCTGATTCCTGAGAGGACCGAGATTCTAGCCCATTTATGACTGGCGGGCCAGTTGCTTTTGGCCTTCCAGTTTTCCGCTCTGGAGCTTACCTGCTTTGGCCTGATGTTTCATGGGCCCATCAGGACAAACCTCAGTCCTCTTGAAGCCTGGATTTGACAGAGTCAGAAGCCCTCCTTCCGTAGAGGAGATACTTTAGAGCTTAAATGGCATCTGTCTTTGGCTTCATCCATTTCCCTCTGAGTGCTGCAGTTCAGGGGGATCCATGTTGGCTGCACCAGAGGGCTTTCCTAGGGGCAGAATGCCTGGGGCTGCAGCTGGGCAAGTCGTCTGCTGGTGCCCCTACCTCTTGCTACATTTTTGGGGTGGGTTTCTCCTCTGCCAGGCCGTGTTATTTGAACTTGTTGTTGTCCTTATTTGGCCTCTGGTGGCCTTTTTATCTGTTCCTCCCCGGAAGAGGTGGACTGTCTGCATGTGCATAATGGTTCCTCTTTCATTCCCCTCGTTTTATGACACTCATGTAACTAATGCAGTTGGGGGGCAGGGAGATAGGGACTTTCCCAGTTGTATTAGTAAACCAGTCCCCAAATTCCTCTTTAAGTATTGCAGCCCCTCTTACTGGGGAGTTAGTTGGGTGGATCCAACTCTAAAGGAGGGAATGGCTGTCCAGTGGGAAACCATAGCGAGGTACCAACAAGATGCTCCTTCCAGCAACTGAACCTTTGCAGGTGAATGGCTTGCCGTTGTATTTTCTCTTCAAGTGTTTTGCAGCAAGAGTATAAAGCACAAAGGTTTATGCTTGCCACTTAATTTGGAAATGCCTTGTCTGTTATCCTTGGAGCATGCTGTATTATTAGGATGAATAGATTTTCCAGTACTGTACTTTTTTTACATTTAGCAGTTTTCTTAGTGCCCGACATACACCTGCCTTCCTGCCCTGGAGACCCAGAGTTACCTGCCATCTTCAGCTGCTACAGTGAGCCATTCTTGAGTCCGTTTTCCAGTCCACAACCAGCAGACTGAACCTCTCTGTAAACATAGATGCTTGCAGGCAGGCTTTGGTAGTACCGGTCTAGAACTTGTGGAATTTTTTCTCATCCCCTCTTTCATAGAATTGTTGTGGGGAAAAAATGCAGGTGAAGCATTTGGGAAAACCTAGGATGGATGGAAAGTCAACCTCCTGAACATTCCATGATATAATAATAAAGAAGGAGAAGAAAGAGGAAAATTGGCCTTCTGGACTAAGGTTCCCTCTTTATGCTGGCTCAGAATCCATTCTTCTTGGGTTTCTTGGAGGAAGACCAGCAGTGGAACAAATGCAGAACCAGTATTAGATGTGGGCAGATGGGCCATTTAAAAAAGGCTTTGCTTCCTGGGCGGTCCCTTGCTACAAGGCATTGAATCCCTTTCTTGGTGCCCTGTAGCAGCTGATTTGGCTGTTGGGTTCTAATGGCGACCCATGATGCCTTTCCATTGCAGTAGGAAAGCAAGGTGTGTACCAATTTATGTTCTTATGACTACATCAAGCCACAGATCACATGGGAGAGGACGGGCCTTGGGTGCTGCCTTTAGGGATGCGGAACATACTGTTAAGTTTTGAGATGTGCATGTCCTCTGGTGACATCCCAATACCTTAGCCCGTGCTGTTGTCTTGCAGAATGTGAACATTTGATCCGCCACATGCTGGTGCTAGAGCCAAGCAAACGGCTCTCCATGGAGCAGATCTGCAAGCACAAGTGGATGAAGCTTGGGGAAACAGACCCTGAATTCAGTACAGTGAGTAAATTTATTTTACTGACTTTCATAAAAAGTATAAGTATAAAAGCAGGATAGGTTGGGAGATTTATTGGGTGGACCAGGTCAGCATAAAGGGAACGGTTTAAAGTTGCATGGAACAGGCCAATCTGTCATTGAGGGGAGGTGGTTCTGCAGGGCAGGCACCGGCATAGCCTTCTACACAAGTCACAGTTGAGAGGAAGATCTTCCTAACGTTCATAGATGTCCCTGCAGAGTGGGAGGGACCAGGTAGGTAGTTTGCTGCTGTAAATTGAGGCATTTATTTCAGGCAGCCTTACCCCAAGCTCTTTAAAGCTTTGATTCCTGATGCAGCACCTTGAAATTGGTTTGCTGGCCAGCTGATGGGCCATGAAGATTGTGAGGTTTATATGCAAGAGGAAGGCCTTTGAGCTTTTGTTCATATATTCCACAAGTACAGTCCAGATTCTATGGCAACAATGTTCTGTTTCTTTGCATAGCATAGCTCAATGTTTTTCAATTTATTAACATGTGTTTGTTTCTTGTATCATGAACTTGGGGAGCACCTGGGGGACCACCCATACAGGTCGTATTTGATTTCCTGTCTGCACCATGTACCTTGAGTTGATCCCTTAGGATCGTCTCATGCATTAGAAGATGAAGAATAGACCATGCACTGGATATGTCATAAACAGACTCTCTGCATGCTCCATGAAATCTTAGTAGGCAGCTTGCAAGAAGTGGTTGGTATCAGTAAGAGCGCCCAGGTGAGTCGGTTTATCAGCGGGCTGAAGATTCTGCCTGGGAGGAAGAGAGCCATTCAGTGGACAGCAGCAGTGCCTCTTACTTAGCTAATGGGTGTTTTCAAAACACCTCACTCATCGTGAGGGTTGCAGTCATGATTTTGTATGTGTATCCAGGTTATGCCATCTGAAATTAAAGCTGTGTTGTAGCCGAGAATCAGATTCCACATGCACATTTTCTGCAGATGAGCTGTCTGGGCTGATGTGTATGCATCGGAGGAGGAGGAGGAGCCTCTGCATGCAGGATAATGCAGAGCTGCTGGCGAGGGAAGGAGCCTGTTCCTGCCAGCATGGGCTCCCTGTTGTTGATCCCCTGCCAGCCTTGTCTTTGTCACCTCTCAGCTTTATGCCATATTTTCTTCTTGACTGGAGATGCATGATGTCCTGCTCAGCCAGTTCATAGGCAATACCCCCTTTAGCATCTGGGCTTTTTCTTGTTGTGGAAGCAACCGTCCCTGAAAAGTTCTTTGCTTTCTAGTTGATAGCAGAATGTCAGCAGCTGAAAGTTGAGAGGCAGATGGAGCCACTGAATGAAGAAGTGCTGCTGGCTATGGCTGAGATGGGGCTGGATAAGGAACGCACCCTCCAGGTACCAATGCCACTGGCCTTTCTGGGACCCCTGGGCACTGTCTTGGGGCAGAGAGCAGTGACTATATGGCTTTTGTGACCTCCTAGTCATTGAGGACAGACGCCTACGATCACTACAGTGCAATTTACAGCCTTCTCTGTGATCGTCAGAAGAGGCATAAAAACCTGCGAATTTCTGCCCTGCCCAGCCTTCCACGGACCATGACCTTCCCAGCACCAGCCAGTGTCCAGGTCAGTCTTGTGTGAGAGACCGCTTCATTGCTTGGCAGTCAGCTAGCATACAGCAACAGAGGGGAGGGCCTTGTCCTCTGCCTTATGCCACCTCAGTTATTTGGGGGCTTTGGAGTGATGGTTTCAAACAGGAGCTTCCTATAAACTGGGAACGGCTGCCCTTGGTCTGGCTTGGCAGGTGGACGCGTGTTGAGGGATAAGACTGCTGTCCTCTGTTCCTCAGGGTTTCCTTTGTCTGCCCTCTGTCTGAATAGTGAAAAGAGCCCTCACATGCCAAGGTCTGGGGGGGGATGGGCAGCACTTCTACAAAGCCCAACCGAGCAAAAGCAAAGCTGGGTGTGATGTAGGACTTCACTAGGGTGGCTGGAAAGTGTCCTGAGGAGGGGGCGTTTTTTTGTCACTGCCAAACTGATGTAATGTTCTCTATGAGAATTCCTTCTCACCTGGCCGGAATGACCGTTACCAAAAGGAGACAGATGCGGACTTCCCCTCCTTCACAAAAGAGGCAAGCCCCAGCCCTCTGTCCAGAAAAAGGGGCGAAACGGGCAAGAGTTTTGCTGCCCTAGATTGCCCGTGTGTGTGTGTGTCTCGCTTGAAAGAGGAGACTGACTTCAGTCCTTGTGGCGTCACCTTAGCCTTCCGTCTAATAATTACTGTTAATCGGAGCTCTTAGATGTCGGTTTCTTGGATTGTTTCCAAGTCCGGACTGCAAGAAAGGAAGCTGATGCTCTCCTGAGTCCTCGGTTTTGCTAACATGGTCCCCCCACCGCGAGCAAGGCAGCTGTTGCGCTAGCTGGGAACCTGGTTGGGTGGTGGAACCTGGGCCAAGCTTGCTATTGGTGGCAGAGCAAGAGGGGCGTGGCCTCGCGTTCCAGGCATTCAGAATTTCGGTGGTGGGTCCACTTTGCAGACAGAACCTGCTGGCAACCCAGTGAGCCTCAGCGTCCCACAAGTGCAGCTCATCAACCCAGAAAACCAGATAGTTGAGGTAAGGGTCTTTCTGTCCAGGGCTGCTTCTTAGGGTCCCTCCTTCCTCTTCTGGAGGCTTGCGCCTTTCTTCTCCTGGCGTCTTTCTGTTTCAGACGGATGGCACAATGAACTTGGACAGCGATGAAGGAGAAGAGCCATCTCCCGAAGCCCTGGTCCGTTACCTCTCCATGCGAAGACACACCGTTGGCGTGGCTGATCCTCGGTGAGCTTTGCTGCCCCCCTTCAGTCTCCTCTAAGTAACAGTTGGGTATATTGGTGGGATAATAGGTTTCTCAGCCCATTCCACCATGAAGACCAAAGGCAGATGTGCCAATATCCCCAGTTGCTTCAGTATGTGCTTTTTGTGTCTGAGGGTCTCCAAGCTATGACATCTTTGTGTCTGCAGCACTGAGGTGATGGAGGATCTCCAGAAGCTGCTCCCAGGCTTCCCACGAATCACCCCGCAGGCACCATTCTTGCAGGTGGCCCCAAATGTGAACGTGGCAGCCAACATGCTTCCCATGCAGCACCTACAGCCAACCGGCCAGTTGGAGTACAAGGTACCCTTCCCCCTTCCTCTGCGTGTGCCAGCCCAGCCGCTCCAAAGGGCTGCTGAAGAGCGTGGGCACAGGGAGCCCCCTGGCCTGTTGGGGTCAGGCCCTGTCCTCGGCCTGCCTTTGCGAGAGGCGGCAAAGCAGAGAGCTCCAGTGACAGAAAGCTTTGTTGCAGGAGCAGTCTTTGCTGCAGCCGCCCACGCTGCAGCTGCTGAATGGGATGGGACCGCTGGGGCGCAGGGCTTCCGATGGTGGAGCCAATATCCAGCTGCACGCACAGCAGCTCCTGAAGCGTCCTCGAGGCCCATCTCCTCTTGTAACCATGACACCAGTAAGCCCTGACCTTATGGACGTCGCTACGTATGTGGATCGCAAGATGGGGCTCAGTGTCTGTGCTTGCTTGTGTGAGGTGACAGAGATGCCCAGTCATGTATGTAGGAGGCATCTGGCAGGGGTGGCATTGTTTCCTTCTCGGTTCCTGCACAGAGCTCGGCCAAGGTCTGGTCCCGGGGTGGGTTTGTGAGCCCTTGGCAGTGACGCTCCCTTGAAACGGTTCTCTCTGGGGACAAGTCACTTGTCCTGTCTTGCCCTCGTTCAGGGATCCTCCCCCTCCCCCTCCTCCTCGAAGGGGAACGGATGGATCAGGGTCGTGGGAGTGTTGGAGAAGCTTTTGGCAGAGCAGAGCCTGTGACTTTGTCTCCCCTCCAGGCAGTGCCTGCTGTCACCCCTGTGGACGAGGAGAGTTCAGATGGGGAGCCAGATCAGGAAGCTGTGCAGAGGTAATGCTCCTCACGGCCTTCTGTCGTCAGAGGGAGCCCTGGAACCTCGCAGTCACTCAGCAGCAGTCTCCCTGCGGCTCCTGCTTGCCTTTGCTTCCCTGGGAGCAGTTTTCTGTGCAGGTTCTACTGCCCCTGGGACTTGCCCCCCCCCCCGGTGTTCTTACTAACTTCTTTGCGCTGACTGGATGGGGAGGTGGGATCCTTCTGGCATCTGGAGCTCAGCTGTAAGTATAAGGTGAGCCCCCCAGCACTTGCCCTGCTGGTGCCCCGACTGCATCTCTTTCTCCTGCTGAAGTGGTGTGCCGATTGCTTTCCTTCCAACACTCTTCTTGTAGCGGGTGCCCTGGGAAAGACTGGCAGTGGTCTTGACTGCAGATTCCCAGAGGCCAGTCTGTTAGCCTGTTGCAGTAAAACCCACAGAGGTCTTGCGGAATTTTAAAGGCTGGCTGGCACTTTACAGCATAAGTGTCTGATGAAATGGGTTGTAGCCCACATAGCGCTTAATAAGTCTTTAAGGTGCTACAAGATTCAGTATTAGTTTGGATTGCAGCTCGGTATCTTCTGCTGAGCATCTCTCGCAGTAAGAGCGGCTCAGTGTCTGGCTGGCCTGGCTCCCCTGCTTAGGTCAGATGCTCCTTTGGGAATGAGGACTATTCTTTTCCTTTGGGACCTGGATGGGAAAGCCTGGGATGTCATGAGGCGCGATGGAACTCTTAAGACGGGGCCCTTCCACCGCCCGCTCCCCTCTTCAAGGCCTGTAGAAATGTGGAGGCTTTGCACCCTGTCTGGCTGTGGTGAGCAGGAGATAAATGGTGGAGAGGAATGTCCTTCTGAGGAGGCTGCCCTTGTTGCCTGACATCAGAACGGGACCAGAGTGTGCGGAAGCAGAACATCTCCTCTGACGAGCAGATTCTATTCAGGAACTCTAGCAGAAAAGGATCTTTCTCACTTCTCGCTCTTTAAGAACAAAGACAAGCTGGAGGTGCTTGTGCTAATGTTTTGATTAACATCCAGTGCCCCCCCTTTAAAAAAAATCTGAGGAGACCATTGCAATCTCCCATGAGAACTAGCAAGATCTAGGCAGTTTTTAAAAAATCAACGAAAACATTTTTGATGGTTCCTATGATGGTCACAGAAAGGGGCCTGCTGGCTAAACCTCTTGCTGACCCCTCTCCTAAAAACAAGGCGGTGAACTTGAGTTGAGTTCTCCTCTGTGCAGGCACATGCCCTGCCCTGAGCCATGGGTCTTCCTTCCCTTGGTCAGCTAGACATCCATCTTGTTGAGCCAAGGAGTGATCAGCTGCATGAGCTGAACTCCCTTGGGTCTCTGCTCCTGACTGCTAGAGTGACACTGTCTGGCTTCTTCTTGATCTTCTTGTAAATGATTATGCCAAGCCAGGTGGTTGCTCTAGAGAGATATCTGACCTCTGCCCTTCCTCCCCACCTGAACTAGATGGGCTTGGGGAGCCTGTGCTTGAAATGCGGCTTATGATTAGCTCTCTTACTGGGCAGGTCTGCTGCTCAGAGGCTCAAAACAGTCACTAAAAGCAAGCGGCAGGTCCAGAACCTTCAGAAAACGGCCCTCTTCTCCCTCAGCATGAATGGTGCGGATGCTGGCCTGCTGCCCGGCCACTAACTTCCCTCTAACCTGCGCTCTTCTGCTTTTTCCTGGATCATCTGGATGTGTGTGTGCACATGGTCCTGTGGTTTGGGGAAACTTTGTTGCTGCTGCTCTTCATAGCTGCCATGCGCTAAGTGCCCTTCTTT